TTGAGAATGTGATTGAACTGCAGAGAATTCTGGAGGAAATGAATTATCTAGACCTTTCAGTCAGGTTTCACACCAGGGCACAATATGGAGATAGCACTGATTTGTCTTCTCAAAGGCCTTTAGTGGAATTAAGATGGGGTTGTGAATCTATCTTGGTTCCTCTTGGTCCCTTGGCAGCTTTTGATCATAGTATTTTTCTGACCAATGATTTTGGTGATTGAGAGTGGAAGAATTCATGTAACAATGGGTCTGTGGTTGGCTCCAGTTGGTGTTCACAGAGGGAAAGAGGCTGAGCCTGCAACCTTTCATTTGTACAGTGCCTAAGGTGTGCAGAGCTTGATGGTCTTACCCAGTGGTGAAATTCAATTTTTTTACTACCAGTTTTGTGGGCATGGCTTGGTGGGGAAGGATACTGCAAAATCTCCATTCCTACCCCACTCTGGGACCAGCCAGAGGTGGCATTTGCCGGTTCTCTGAACTCCATTTCACCACTTATCTTACCCCTTCCATTTATAAACTACATGAAACCACTGGTTGAGGTCACCTATCAGTTCAGGTCCCAGTATTCTTGATGATATTCAGTCACATATCCTGATTCCCAACTGCCCAAAGCCTGCTGTTAATACCTTGTCCCAGTATCTGTAAGCTATCAGAAAACAGGTGGAGATGAATAGACTCAAATCAATCCTGACAAGAGCAAATGGCTCTTTTCAACTCTGGGAACTTTCTACAATGCCTGTAGTCTTGGATGGGATAGCATTTCCCCATTGAAAATCAGTGCACCATCTAAAAGAGTTTTGAGGCCCTGATCAAGAGAAATTGGCAGTAGATTAGATTAGATTAGATTTAATAAATTTATAGGCCGCCCAGTCCCGAAGGACTCTGGGCGGCTTACAACAATAAATTTAAAAAATAGAAAAGTTAAAAACACAGAAACATAGATTAAAAAAGCCACAACATACACCCAGTCTAATCGGGGCTGGACCTCAATCATGAGTTCAACAGCCTGGGGCCTGCCGGAATAGCCAGGTCTTAATAGCCTTTCAGAAGGCCATGAGAGTGGGTAGGATCCGGATCTCTGGGGGCAGTTTATTCCAGAGGGTCGGAGCGGCTACAGAGAAGGCCCTCCCCTGGGTGGTTGCCAGCCAACATGGTCTGGCTGACGGCACCCGGAGAAGGCCTACCCTGTGCGATCTTATCGGTCATTGGGAGATATGTGGCAGAAGACGGTCTCGCAGATATCCGGGTCCTAGGCCATGTAGGGCTTTAAAGGTAATGACCAGCACCTTGAATTATGCTCGGAGACCAATAGGAAGCCAGTGCAGCTCATGGAGGATAGGTGTGATGTGGGTGTACCTTGGTACACCCAATATCGCTCGCACGGCTGCATTCTGGACTAGTTGTAGTCTCCAAACACTTTTCAGGGGCAGCCTCATGTAGAGCGCATTACAATAGTCAAGCCTTGAGGTGACAAGGGCGTGAGTGACCGTGTGAAGTGCCTCCTGATCCAGATAGGGCCACAACTGGTGCACCAGGCAAACCTGGGCGAAAGTCCCCCTGGTCACAGCCGACAGTAGTAGTGGCCAAGAAGGCCTTTACACGTATTCATCTAGTGTCATGGTCTTTCATGTTCTGTAAGCTTGGTAGGGTTTTTTGTTTTTTTTGCAGTTGTTTCATTATCAAACTAAGTAACATCAGTGCATCTAGTGAACCCATTGGGTCTGTTATTGGACCAAGAGGTCATCTAGATAGTCATGTGTTATATTTAGAGAGGACTATTACAATGTGGTCTCTATATGCCTGACCTTGAAGAACAGTTAGAAGCTACTGAACGTGGCAGTGTAGGCCGTACAGTAATAGGCATGCCTAAATATGCCTACATGACACCATCGTTCTAGAAGATACATTGGTTCCCAGTTAGCTTCTGAGTACAATGCAAAGTGCTGGTTACAACCTATAAAGCCCTTCATATCATGGGATCTGACTATTGATGAAAACCTATCCTCTCTATGATTAGGCAGAGGGGAAGCACATCAGGACTATTAATCCTTCTCATTAAACAACTCCATCAGTTGGGACTTATGAAGTATACTTTCTTTAATTTTTTTTTCACTGTTCTATTGTTTATTTCTTTTTATGCTGTAAGTCAGAAAAGTCTTAGCAAGTCAAGTAGTGTCTGAACATATAAATAATAATAATAATAATAATAATAATAATAATAATTATTATTATTATTATTATTATTATTATTATTATTATTAAAATATTAATATGATTATACACCTTTCTCTCAAATTTTACAATACGCATATACATAGCCAAAGCTAGGTAGAAAGCTGACTGAGCAATCATCCTTCATAAACCCAAGATCAGCATGTCATCTTTTGTGTTCTTAACTTTCCAGCTCTGAATTTCTCTGCTTTTGAAAGCAAGTATCCACTTATTAAAATATGTCAGTAGGGAGAAGCCCTGAGGAAGTGGGGGAAATCCCTCTCCACTCTCCGATGATGTTCTTGCTGTTAATTCCACAGATCTTCCTTTAAGCCAAGACTGCAACTATTTATGGTGCTGGTGCTGACCAGCATTTATTTCTGGCACCAAAATCAATTTTTTGGGGAAAAATATGTTTGTGTGTGGGGGTAAATTGTGTGGACTGAGGCAGAAAGGCAAAAAGTTCATCCTTTCATCATCTCTCCTATTGGAACTATTACTGATGCAGAAAGGAAACACCCTAGATCAGGGGTGTCAAATGCCCATGGGGTGCTTAGATTTGGCCTGCGGGACCACCCTGGAAACAGCAAAGGTCAGGCCCACAGTACCTCTGCCACCGAAAACAGAGTTTGGGAGGGCCACATGTGCCCCTCCCCAGCTCTGTTTTCACAGGCAGAGGGTTGCAGGAGGCCATCACAGCCAAATTATGAGCTCGCAAGCTCATTTTTGCTGGCAAAGTGCTCTGGCCACAGGTCCCCCTGACATAAGTGACTCCCAAAGGTCAAACACAACCCACCCCTGACCCCCAAAGGTCAAACACAACCTTTATGCAGCACTCAATGAAATCGAGTTTGACACCCCTGCCCTAGATTGTCACCTCTCCTTTCCATACTGTCTAGGACCATCTGATTTCAACACCAGCAAAAAAAAAAATCATATGACCTTCCCACATTTGTGCTTTGAAGATTCATTCCACGTGCCAGCTCTGATATGAAACATTAACCTGAGAGGCTGATTTATTGTTTATTTTCAAAGGAGAAGACTCTACAGTTCCCCAAATATAAATGAAGCTGTCTGGGGTTGCTGGAGATTTTGAAGTTACCTTATTGCCTCAGTCCTTTTTCTTTAGATTCAGGTGCATCCCACTGAAGCTTGGCTGAAGCTTAATCTGCTGACAATACATTCTACAATGTTATCCATATCCCAGCCATTACATCGAGCGATAAAAATGTCAGAACGTGCTGCAATTCTCAGCAGCATTGTGATAACATCCAGCTCCACCTTGAATGCTCTTCTAAAGAACACTCACATGACATGACTTAAAAGGAATTTTGCATATATTTTTCCTCCAGTCTGTTAAGGAACCCATTAATTTAAAAGTGTGTCTCTAAGCCCGGGGCGAGTCTCACAGGGATCTCCTGCTCCCATCCCCCACCCCAAATATTACTATTTTTTTTTTTGGAAAACCCCGTGAGATTGGATGTGTTGACAACTCAAAGCAACGTTTCTCTGTTTGCTTCAGAGTTTGACAATGATTATGTGCAAATGGATGTTTCTTTTAAGTGGCAATGTAGAAACATGTATATGCTTGCAGGATGAGGCATAGCTTAAATATATTTCATTTAGATAATGAGTGAGAGAGTTTCGGCATTTAACAAAACTACAGTACTAATTTAACACCAAAGACCATTCAGACTAACTTCCGTGTCTCCGAACACAAACAGAATTAATAAAAGACAATATCTGTAAATCAGGGTCGAACTGTGGGGTCCCTGGTGTGTCCTCTCACCTTGGCTGTTTCCAAAGTCTCATTACCCAATTAGGTAACATCATCAGTGCTAACACAGATACAAACATGTTGCAGATTGTTACAATTGTGGCTAAGCAGATATACTGTGGAAAGCAGTAAGCTATTCGCAGATCCACTGCACATGCCTTTACAGGTTCAAATGTCATGTGTGAAGCAGACCACGAATTCACATTGCAATCACTAAATAAGATTTTAGATTCCTCCACTATCAAAATCATTACTAACATATACAGAGTCATTCTCCTAGGGGAAAAAAACAGCCTAGGTTTGCCAGCAAAAGACAGCCAATAGCAAAGATTATCCATATCTTTCTTTATGAATAAAAAGGTGCAGTTTATTTCTTTATTGCAGGTTGATGCAATGTCATTGAACAAAACATGTGGTTTTTTTTTGTCTCTTGAAATTCTGATTTTGGAGCATCACTATTAGCACGATTCACAGCTGAATTGCTTGAGAGGGCATTAATATTTATTTAAATGTAGGTCAGCAAACATTTCTTGAAATTTGTCCACATGGTAGAATAGATCACAGTCATGAATTTTTCAAATGAGAGATGCTATCTAGGAACTTTGCACAATACATAAAAACAAACATTTTTGAAAAATGAACTAAACAATGAACTAATTTACTGAGAAGTTGTGAAATCTCAACGTCTTAGCATGGGTTTAGCAATCTTAGTATGGCATACCGGCATACCATGAGATCTCATGAGATTAAGTGATCTTCTGATATCTCATCTATCAGCAACTTTAATTTATTTTTTAATTTGCTTTGGGGAATAGTATTTAAGGACTTCAGAGGCACCCTGGGTAGTGCATTGCTGACTTTAGGATTAGACTCCTTAAAATCAATGGGACTTAAGATGTCAATATGTGTTCAATTTACTAATGCTATGTACATTTTGAAAAAGCTGGACCATCAGCACATAAAGGCATACTGACAGACAAATCTAGAAGCACAGAAATATTTTTATGCTCACCATGAGTCTGCTATCCAGAGAGAATCTCTTCCCAAACTCCTTTTTTACAAGTTGCCGCTTTTTATCCATAATGTTCTTTGTTGGAAATGCCATGTATTTGCAATTTTCACTGGGAAGAAAATAAAAATACATTTATTTTATATAAAAAAATAAACTTATCAAAGTAATATTACACCTCTCTGTGTCTGTGTATCTATTGCCCTACCTGAAGTAAGTCTGTGTGTGTGTGTGTGTGCGTGCGCGTGCGTGCGTGCGCGTGCACGCATATGACTGGTCAGAGCTGGAAGTACTACACATCTCTTTAGTCCGTACACCATAGTGTACACAACAAATAACATCCAAACTTAAGGATCTACAGATCAACAATTACTGTATGTTCTCAGTTTTAAGTAGTGACTAGACAAAATGAAATTCCTCTCCTTCTCTACTGGAGAAGGAACATCTCAGAACATCCAGAAGCAGTTGGCATCTTCTGCAGGCCACCTGCTTGAGCTTATTTGCTTAAGAGGTCTGCCATCAAGAATAGTGCAACTTCAGAAAATCAAAATCATGGACAGATGCATGTAAACTTTAATGAGCAGATGCTTTAATTAGTAATTCATTAGGTTTCAGTAAACAATGACAAGGACTTCAGGCAAGTTAGTGGTCACTGAGTTATTGAATAAAATTCCTCATACGTCAAGTCAGGCATTGGAGGCTTCTAACGTTGTTTCATTCTCTCTTCACTGAACGTACTATTGAATGTAGCTTTGAAACTGAGGTTCCTTGTTTATGAAAGCTACTCTAGGATTTTCCTGAGTCCGTTTTCTGATATTAGAGAAGAGCATATAGAGTGAGTTACAATTCACCTTGTGGAAAAAAGTTCACTAATGGTTTCTTACTTTTTGTAAATGAATATATCGTTTGGTTGCATTTATTTGTTTATTTGCAATGCTTATGATGTTATACCTCAATCCTGGAGAACTATACAGCAATACATAAAATTAAAAAAGGATATAAGCATACAATCCCAAACTTAAAGGTAGAGATGAATGCCCCACTCAGGGCACTTAGGAATCAAGACTTGCTGGAATAATATACATTTACAGAATATTAGCAACATTGGACAATGTGCACCTTTGAGGGAAAGGGTGCTGCTACAGAGGTGGATCTCAACTAGCTTAGTGTTTTTGAACCTCAGCAACATGCGTGGACTGGAGAATGCTGGCTGGAGAATTCTGGGAGTTGAAGTCTACACACCTTAAAGTTGCTGTGGTTGAAAAACACTAATCTAGCCTGTATTTTGTAAATCTCATAAGGGGTAAATCTCAACAGGATTTCTTTAGACCAGGACTGTCAAACTTGCGGCCCACACCTGGATTAGCAAAGGAGGGGTCCCAATGCATCACGTGATGTCACCATGACCATGACCCATGCTTTAGACGATGAGACCAGATTCAACCCTGACTAGCCATTCTGTGATATATTACATGTTCAAGAAAAAGTCGCCATTGTGGAATTATAAAATGCAGTGTCATATGCTGCAGGGATACATGAAAGAATTTTTATATTAAAGATGCAGCATCTAAAGTACTGTAAAATATACTAGAGGGAGCACTTATCAAAGGCAGCAACAGAAAACTATATTCTCTTTTCCTTTCATCTCCTCTGGTTCTTCTTTTTCAGCAACTGATAGGTCTGGCTCAAATTGTATAAATATTAGGTTGAGAGGTTTCCTTTGCTCGTGTGTGTGTGTGTCTGTGTGTGTGTGTGTGTGTAATTCATTTATTTATCATATATATATATATATATATACACGCACACACATACACACACATATACACACATACACATTCACACATACACATTCACACACACACACACACACACACACACAAACATACATACATACATACATACATACATACATCTATCTATCTATCTATCTATCTATCTATCTATCTATCTATCTATCTATCTATCTATCTATCTATCTATCTATA